GAGCGTGGGGGAGGGGGAGGGCAGGGAGCGTGGGTTAGGGGTGCCTGTGCCACCGCAGCCCATCTCCCACTTGCCCTAGGAGGAAGCTTCCAAATGAAACCACTCGGCAGGTGAAAGAGGCTCAGTGTCCTCAGCTTGTCTGCACGTGGACGCAAGGAGCGAGTCCTCTTCAAGGACGGACGCGCAGGGGGGCGGGGTGCACTGCGCGTGCTCGTCGTCCGGCCCTCACCTGGCTGGCGCCCAGGTGCGCGGAGGGGCGCTCTCCGGGCCGCGACGTCCTGCTCCGCTGGTGAGACAGAGGAGTAGCCCTGTCACTCACCACCACCTGTAACTCTGCCTGAGTGAAGGCTCAAAGAATGTACTCCCTAGGAGAGTCAGGCACTTCCCCAAACCTCCCTATCCCTGCCCCCTACACACACACACACACACACACACACACACACACCCCTGTGTGTTGAAACAGTGCAGCTGAGCCATGCAGGATTCCAGCCCCTACCCCAGGCCTTCTCCTCTCATGCAGCGCCTGCTGCGTGCAAGACCTGTGCTAGCATTGGGGCCACAGCGAGGTGAGAGCCCTGAGTCCAGGCCACAAGGAACTTACTGGGGAGTTGCATGGTTGGGATATAGGCGTCAGCAGAAAAAATCTGTGGGTGCCTGAAAAGGGCTTAAATAATGCTATGGGACTTCAGAGCAGAGAGAAGTTGCCATGAGGAAAGCCCAACAGCTTGAGCTGGGTCTGTGGGGACGCGCAGGGCCTTGGTCAGCAGGGGGTTGAGGGGGCATTGCCAGCCAGGGAAGTGCCCTGATCAGGGCAAGGAAGTGGGCCCGGCTCCCTGTCTGTGCTGCGGTCCCAGCTGCTCTGCAGATGAGGAACACGGAGTGCCAGGAGCATGTCATCCAGCCTACCGTCCTGGGTTTCAAATTAGATTTTGAAAACCATTTCATTACCCAGACTGCGCTGAATTCAATAGGCCATAAATAAAATGAAAAGTGATGCATTTCATGTAAGTCCGTAACCTGGGAGCGTCTCTCTTTTTCTGCTCTGTGTGGTAGCTCAGAGCTTTGAAGTGGACAGGGTACAGGCTCTGAGCTGTGTGACCTTGGGCTAGTTAGTTAACCCCTCTGCGCCACAGACTCATCTGTAAACAAGGCAAATGACACACACGTTGGAAGCCTGAAGGCGGTGTCTACACAAATCTTATCACTGTGCCTGGTCCATGTACATGAGGAATAAATACAGCTCTTATTACCAGCTGCTTTCACACTTGGGCCTTTACCTGACCAAATAATGCCCCCCAAATCCCTATTTGCTCACCACCAGCACAAGTATGCAAAAGGGCAGGAGAATCGCTTAGGCACTGTGCTGTCCAATGCAGTAGAGAAAAACCACAGGTGGCTATTTAAATTCATTAAAATTAAATAAAACAAAAATTTTAGCTCTTCAGTCACACTAGCCACATTTCAAGGGTTCATTACTCACATGTGTCTAGTGACCACACTATTGGACAGCACGGATATAGAATATTTCCATCGCTGGAGCAAGTTCCATTTGACAGCACAGTTTAGGAAAGCGTTTGTCTTCAAGTAACAGCAAAATCATCTTACAGTGGATTACATGAATGGTTCCTAACCAAGGGTGACTTCTTTTCTCCAGGAGACAGTTGGTAGTGTCTGGAGACATTTAATGGTGACAGTGTGGCGTGCTTAATTCACATCTAGTGCGTAGAGACCAGGAATGTTGGTAAACATCCTACAATGCAAAGGACAGTCCCCCACACAAACAATTATCTGGCCCTAAAGAGCAAAATACTGCTAAAATTGAGAAACCCTGGATTACATACGCACAAATATGTTTTTCTCATGTCACTAGAATTTAGGGGCTGGAGGCTGCTGACATCTGTCTTTCCAGTTATTCACTAGTGTCAGGGCCAGCACTTGGTGATTCCCTTTCCTCTTCTCTCATAGCGATAAAGTGGTTGCCATAGCTCCAGGAATCACATTCCAGTTCAAGGAAAAGAGGAAGAGGAAAGGGAAACAGAGCCAACCATGTCTGTCCCCTTTAACCAAGAAAGCAAAGCTTTCCAAGAAACATCCCCCAGGAAACTTTCATTTCCCTCTCAAAGATGAAATTGGGTCACGTGGAGCTACCTAGATAGACGGGAAGTTGGGATATCATGTATTTGGCTTTGTAACCTTTATGTGAGAGGTGGCCAGAGAGAAAGGGATGACTTTTTATATACCCCAGTGTACACATGGATCGTGATCTAACACACAACCCTGAGCAGTTATTTATAAAACAAAAGAGCATTCATGGATGTCAGATGTCCAACGTGCCATAACATCTCCAAAATGTGAAGAATCCTTTTTTTAAAATATGCTTTTATTGATTTGAGAGAGAGAGGAAGGGAGAGGGAGAGAGAGAAACATCAATGTGAGAGAAAAAGATTGATTGGCTGCCTCCTGCACACCCCCTACTGGGGATCGATTCTGCAACCCAGGCATGTGCTCTGACTGTGTTTTCAGATTGTTGTTAAGATATATCTCTTATTTTGAGCCTCCTAAAAACTCTGTGAGGTAGAATGAATGCTTATTCTTTCCTATTTTGTCTCTGAAAACGCCAGGGCTTCAGCAAAGCTGAATGGCTGAGTGACAGGCCACACGGGATGGAAAGAGCTAGAAACCAGGTCCTCTGGCATTTAGTTGACTCCTTTTCCTTCAGGATCTTTCCTGAGGAATCTCAAACACTTGGTAACTGGTCACTCTGCTTCAAATGTTGTCTCTTCAGTACTTCTAATGGGGTTTGGGCACTTTTTCTTGACCAGGGGTTGAGTAGTTAGTACTGACAGCCAAGAGTCCACACAGAATATCGACTTCCACTTTCTTCTGCATCAGGTCCTACAGGGGAGCCACAATGCTGATAAAATAACCACTGCATTAATGAGCATGGCGTATTCAGTACAACCCGTCACCCGGCCTCAAGCTTATTTTCCTACTGAATGTCCCATCAATCCTTCATTTGCAACACACACACACTCCTCAGCCCCATCAGATGACTCACTGTCCCTAAAATGATCAAATGCCAATCCCTGCCTGCTCTACATTTTAAAACAACTTAAATGCCACTTCCTCTGGGAAGCCTGCTCAGATTTCCTCCAAGATGACTAGTCTCTTTGTTTTCTGCGCTCTGGTCACACAGTGTTTATGACTCTGGAACAGTGCTTTTCAAATTTTTTATGCACAGGAGTCACGGGCATCAAGCCAAAAGTGCAGATTCTGATTCCATAGCTCTGGGATGGGTCGAAGATTCTACACTTCTAATAGGCTCCCATGTGACATGATGCTCTTGGTTCCCAGCATGTGTCGTGTTTTACCTGAAAGTAGGGTTAATTTTCACCACAGCAGGCTTCTCTCACATGATGATAACTTCCCTAAAGCAAGAATCATAGGCCCCCAGAACCCTAGCACAGTGCCTGGAACATAAATAACTGCCTGGCATTGAGTGCAGTCAGAAACAAAACTGTGAGACAGTTCATTCTGTCACCCATATTTCAAGTGTGAGTAGTTTTATATTTTGAGACAGGCATGCAAAAATATAATTAGGAAATTGATGGCTCACTTTCCAGCAACCTGACAACTCTTGCTGGGGAGCCCTTGACAAATACTGAATGAATGAATGAATGAATGAATGAATGAATGAGAGAAACTAGCTGCTCAGAACAGGACTCAAGCTTTTTAGGCTGATACTCAATCAGACTCCTCTGACCAGGTGCCAAAGTCATGGTGATTTCTTCTTCCCTGCAGGCATCTCCAGCTGCCCTGGCAAAGAGCGTGTTGGCTGAAGTCCCAAACCAAGTCGTGGACTATTACAATGGCAAAGGGATTAAGCCAAAATGTTCCTCAGAAATGTACGAGTCTTCCAGGACACTAGCACCGTGAACTCCACGCACTTTTACAGAGCTCTGAAATACTACTCCTGCTAATATTTAATACTTCCACTACTCCCGTACTTTAAAAAAACCACACATACACATTTAAAAATAGCACGTTTTGGTGATTTTTAACTAACTGACCATTTTTTTTGCATGTGTAGCCCTGAGGCCTGGATCTGGTAAGCCCTTGTATTGTTAAAGACTTTTTACAAAGAAACAAATAATTATAACTTACTCTTTACATTACAGCATGTCGCCTTGAGATAAAATGGTTATCTGTATCTGTTTTTTATACAGGTTTGTTGAAATTTTGCTAAATTTCTTATTATCTTTACACTGTAAAGCATTTTGAAACATTTACCGAACGTTGATAGCCAAAACACATTTGGTTTTATCTGCTCCAGGATGAGAGACTTTTCAAAATGGTAGATGCATGGACTGTATTTTGCATGTTTCAAATAAAAACACCCACACCCACACTGTTTTTTGCAGTTGTTATCTATAACTCATCCCTGCTGAGAATGGTCTCTGCTGATGAAGATGTTTAGCCACCTAGAAGTAGTCTTCTTGACGTGGGTCTGGGGCTCTTAGCCCAGCACCTACCTCTCAGCTTTACTGAGCACACAGATCCCCTGAGGATCTTGTCAGAATTCAGACCATGATGCCATAGGTCTGCAGGGGCCCCCGATTCTGCTGCTCTGACAAAGTCCCAGGGGATGCCAGTGCTGTCCTCAGGCCGCACTAAGAGGGCCGAGGTTCTGGATGCCAGGGTGTGATCGTAGAGACCATCCGAAACAGGGCAGAACCTAGCCTGCTTGAGAATGGCACCTCTCCCCTGCCAGTAGCACAAAGGCCCTGCCTGACTCCGAGGTGGGAGTAGAAAGTACTGAGACTGATTCCAGAAGCTGCAGGCCCCGCATCAGTCTCACTGCTCGGTAGTCCCACCTCTTCCTTAACCGAGGCATCGCTCACCTTGCAGCATGAATGATGCCACGTTTATGTCCACCCCTAGCAATGACCTCAGAAGGTCTTCAGTAGAACCACGAAGACGGAGACTTGTCCATGGCAAATGGCCGTGCAGCGCGCTCCCCAGAAAGGTGGCCCACCGAGTTGATTTTTAAGCTGAGTCTGGGGCTTCTCTTTGCCTCATTTTTATCATTCCCAAGAGCAAACTCTTATCAGCAGACATGCCTGGAATCATTGTTTTAGATGGAGTTGTTTTGTTTCGACATAAAGTGGCCAGTCTTGCACTGGAAGGATGAATGTTTCACTTGTATAACCTCACAGGGAAGGGGACAAGTGTTTCGCAGCACCAAAGGCACAAGATAGAAAAGTGAGGAGGTAAATCACAAAGTGAAATAGATCTGTTTGTTGTTTGTTTGTTGAAGGGGGGACATATTAACAAGCAAATAAATCAAATAGGCTTTGTATAATTTCCAGCATTATAATTATAGATTCTAACCTTGCAAATACATGTCAGCCAAATGCACAACATTTTGGGAATGATGGGGAAAATGTATGACTGGAAAAAAATCATAAATATTTAAACTGTATTGTTTTATGAATAAATTGGGTACTTACAGAATTTTTTCTTTAAGAGTTATGGTCTTGTTTCTCTTTTCAAGGCAATTTTCTAGCAGTGATTTATTTCATGTAGGTGACATGGCCTCAGGCCAGGACTAGCTCTTTCACAGTCCCATGGAGACATGGGCCATTGTTTTTAACAAACGAGGAATTAAAATATTTAGGTTCCTACAGAAATATCTGGTGGTTGTTTCTAGCCCCAAACCAGGACAGAGATTTCCTTACCTGTGTGCCTGGAACATAGTAAGCACTCAATAGATATTTAATGAACAAAGAGATGACTAATCGAATGAATGAATGAATGAATGAATGAATGAATGAATGAATGAATGGACTTGTTCATGTGCCTCATGAGAGATCTCAAATCCATCGCAGTTTTAACAGGTAGATCAAGTGGCTGTGGCTGGCAATCAAAACGATGCACCGTTTCATCCTCAAATATCTGTTGAGATCTATTACATTCATGTCAGGGCTCCTGGGATGTGTGACATGGGGTGACAAGGACAGAGTTTGGTTTGCCTGGAAGAACTTTATGACAATTTACTTCCTTTTTCATAGCCAGACTGAATCTCAGCTCTAAAGAATAATAAAAATAGTAGCTAACAGTTATTGAGCACTTACTGTATGCCAGTCACTGTTCTAAGTACCCATCACATACTATCTCATTTAATTCTCCCAACAGCCCTAACAGGTAACCGGCAGCATTAGTCTCATTTTGCAGGTGAGGCAACTAAAACACAAAGAGGTCGGGTAACTAACCTCAGGTCACACGGCTATCAAAAGGCATAGACAAGGTTTGAACACAGACACTCTGGCTCTTGTGCCCAAACTCATTTTGTATAACCTCCATTTCAGCCACCCTCCGGGCACTATACCCATCCACTGCCTTATCAAGCAGCAGATTCTTTTTTTTAACTTTATCTTTATTGTTGAAAGTATTACAAATGTCCTCTTTTTTCCTCCCATTGACCCCTTCTGCCCCACACCCACCCCCTGCCCCAGGCCTTCACCACACTATTGTCTGTGTCCATGGGTTGTGCATAAATGTGTATAAATTC